ACTGAAATTTCAAAAATCTTCTTCTCAAGACCCAGATATGGTAGAATCAAATACTCTTCATAGATGGAAGGGTCTTAAGGTTTATGACCCTAGGGTCTCACGTTTACCCCCTGGGGAAGGAGGGGGGAGGGGGCAAAATTTATTATGGTTTATAATGGCAAATGATACTTTGAATATTACATGTTAATAACTTGATTGGAATTATAACCTTGAATTGACATTTTGATACTTTGAAAATTTTGAGCCAGCCCTACCCCCAAGGGCTGTAGGGTAGGGCTCAAGGGAGTCAGTGTGCTAAAATTTCTTCATTTTCCTTGTTTAGAATCAGAGGTGCTAGTTTCAAATCCTTTTTAGTCTGAAATATGTATGCTAGATATTGAATAAGGTGGTTTTATTGTTTTTTGTCACTTTGAATAATATTTCTGTTCATGTTAAAAACGAAATCAACACTCTGTATAAATATATCAGGTGACCGTTAAGGCCCATGGGCCTCTTGTATATATTACATGATTTCATGCAATAGCCAGAGCGTTCTATTTTTTAACCGTATTGGAATGTTATGATTACGTTCAAACATGATCATTTGTTTGCTAGTCGGCAACAAGACATTTAAATGTTAACGTAATACGTAATGAATATAGTATAGGTGTGCCTACAGTTGTATCTATAAAATGCTTTTGAAAGGATGCATATATTTCTATGTCTGACGCAAGAATTGTTGAACTTGGTTACTGACAAACAGACAAATTTAGAACCTAGGCAATAAGGTTTAAAATTCAGATTAATGTTTTGTTTAATCTCATTCACATGGATTTCTCATGGTTGATCGACTGGATCCGAAATAATGGAATGACCACTGAATGATATAAGTATTGTATTAATGACTGACTGATTGATTGATTGATCGACCAATAGATTGACTTCATATGCACAGAGCCATGCTAGTAAAATAGATAAATAGTTTGTGTCGTGACCAAATGTTCAGGTAATAAAAGTAAGAAAATATAAAAGAGACACAAATTTTATAGTCATTTAGCGCAGGTAACAGGGCATAACAAACGCATTATACAATCTCGGACTCTCTAAACATATCTTTACCAAGACAAGGTTGTTACACTGTTAGATAAGGGCATAAAACGGAGTCAGGGTCGTTTATACTACAGGCCCTGGACCTTAACTAGGGTGTTCAGATATTACACGTTTTACTCATATATTTTGTCATTGGAAAGTGAATCAAAACCCAGAAAACGTGTGATATTATACACACCTCAGTTTATAGGTCTAAATATAACTGAAACAGGTCCCTGTGACTACACATGTAACAGATTATCAGGTCCATGTTGTATACACCAGTACGCTAAAGCGTATCTAGGTTATCAGGAATGTATGACGCCCATGCATTAACTAACAAAACATCTTACATGGATTTATAAATAGACTATTCTGTTAATCAGATATGAAATAACCGCGATGTGCGTATGACGGACGTCAACGTCTAGATAACTTACGTGAATGTATACATAGACTAGGCCTATACACACCCATATGTGAAAAGATAGGCCTACACGAAGGTAACAAATATTCTAGGTATGCGACTGGACCTGTATGTCTCATGAAATAATGACAGTATATGGTACTATATGGATACACAACTATTCACAGGATGCATATTAATAAATAGATATATGTATATTACAAAACAGTCATATCGACAGTGCAGACAAATTTGTCACATTTTCGAGGTAATCCATCCTTTTTAATATTAAGACATAAACATGAACAATTATATATCACAACATATACAACAGAGAACTACATCACAAAATACATAACAGAAAGTCACCCGTTACTTAGGTAACTGTTTATCTCTTTGTTTTATGTATGTTAAATAATTGATCATGGTTCTGTCTCGATAAAGGGCCAGATTGCCAATATATGTATATATTAAACAAATTATACATTGGTAGAAATATAAATTCATAAATATATATATATAGTTCTACCAGTGTAAAATATGTTTCCAGGTAAGGCAAGGTTGAGTAAATATTATGTCAACACAGTACGTGAGAAAGAGTTGTTCGATTTTCTGATTAGCCTAAAGACATATTAACAGAAATTTGCCGTGTGTAATTTAAAAAAACAAAAAAAAAACAAATGGTGTTTCAGGACTTTAAAATTTCCATTTAAAGACCAGGAACACCACCCCGCATTATACGACACGATATCCTTAAACCATTCTTCCTCGTGAACAGAAATAAGATATACAATGTACACAGTGATAAGGAAATATGATTATATTGGTTGAATGGGTTTATATTTCCTTTCATATATTAGGCCGGGCGGTTTAGGGTGTTTTTCAGTTCCATGTCTGTCGACAAAGAGTGGGCAGACACTTTAAGAACAAGTGTATGAGGGTATTTTTCACCGTATTCAAAGGGATATGTAATTGTTCAAGGTTTCGGGTGGAAAGGAAATCCTGATAGAAGATTTCCTTCTGGTATTACTCGAGCAAACCAGTAAAAGGTAATTTGTCACCCATTCAAAACAATAAGAAATAAGAAACACACTGCATATAATAATATATATTCAAAGTTTATCGTCTTTGAGAAAACCCCTCTGGCTCATAAAAGACATACGATTGACACAGTATAGTAGTATCGGTAAAGACTATTTAAACTCTTGACAAATCTAGTTAGAAATAACTCGGAAGGGCGATGAAATAATATTTCCTAAAAGGATTGTTATTAACAATGGCATGTAGATAATAAAAAAAAAATGTCCTACATTGTACATTCCAAGATCTTTGTAATCAACTCATATCATTCATGTATATAAGTTGAATCATATCTTACATACGTTTTGTTTGAAGTAGAATGCATATCTTTTTACATGCGTACCTAACATTGTTTTGGTCTTTTCATACAATTCTGTTCATGACTCTCGGGTAGTGTTTCATAGGTTCGACAATTATACCAAAGTGTGAGGTTGGTCGGGTGGCGCATGGGATAGCACAATCTCTTTCCGTTAAGAGCGCGATGATATTTCTACAGGTAATCGGGGTTTCCTGCCTTAGTAAGTCAAATAAGTCAAATTAAATATTTTGCTGCACCATATGAACCTTTCTCCCTTTCAGAACTAATAAGGTATGTTAGGTCAATAGAATGAATTTCCCAGTCTTAAGAACTACGAAACATGTAGAAATACATCGACAAAATAAAGGGGAAAGGTACAAATAAAACCAGCTTATCGTTACAAATGTGTAACTTTTGTCTGCAACAGAGAGTTAATTGTTAGATTTGTATATGTAGTTCATATATACGCACGACTGATCAATTTTGTACCTTTATCCATCCTCGAAATTCCAAATTTTACGCATTTACTCATAAACAGATAAAAATAGTCTATTTGTAACATCCATGTGTAGGTGCGCGCGTACACAGCCTTCGATTTTTTCGAGACATTCAGGGTGCAGAGAACGAAAGTGAGTGTAGCCCCTGGGGTTTCGAGGATACCTCTTTAGATCATCTCTATTTGACCTCCTTTATTGCATGGCTAGATCATTTATCTAATTCATTTTATCATCCAGGCAATTGCTTAAGAAACTTGAACTTAAAAATTGAAAAAAATACGTTTACCCTGTACAGTTTAATATCCGTATCAGCACGCGACCAATATCAGCTCTTTGATGTTCTTACTGTATTGACCCGATTGATTATTAACCAAAAATATTTTTTTTAAAAAATGACATATTGGTTAATAAGGAGTTAATCCTTCTATGAAATACTTCAGTATTACGAAAGCTTGATTTTACTAGGGAACGAAATACTTACTATAAATACATTTTCTTTTAAAGCTTCAAGTATATTATCACTGTTCCAGCTTGGACTATGCCAAACAATGCAATAAAATATACTCCAAAAGTTTAAATTCAAAAAGTCTGTAAATGGCAAGTAACATATAATATTATCCACTGACTTGTGTTTTAAATACTTTTTGTGTACTTTAGTATGCAATGTATATATTTTATCACCCGACTTGGAGACCAGTATTTATTTGAGTAAATTAATTTTCATTCTATAAAAATGTATATGTCAGAAAATAAATAACTGTATTGGAAACAATATGATAGATACATCATAATATATGAAGTTTAAAACGTTGCATAATATCGTGTTTCCTAAAACTTCGAATTAAAAAAAAATCAAAACAATCCTGTTGCGATTTTGGACTTTGATGACGATCGAATTTGATTTTTAAAATGAATTTTGCAATTTAATTGTAAAGTGACACCTATTTTTCGAAATCATTAATAAAACAATAAACATTTGGTTTATACTACACATAATAAATCATGGTGGTCATCGATAAACATTATAGACACTTTATAATAAAAAAAAACCTGACAAGCATACATGTACTAAAAATATTTACAAACTATACATATTAATGAGATTTCTTCTGATTTTCAGGGACATGTGACCACCCCAATCATGGACAGGCGCCGACCCATGAAAAGTTTCCATAATGATTGATTTAACACCTTCTTTGGAAAGTGTTAACTGTTATTCAACATGTGATAATGTAGTTTTTTTTCCGAAAAAAGTGATCAATGGATGAGTTCATATTAACCCTTTCACCACTGTAAACCGTAATGGACTCATCCCGATAAATGCAGGGTAGAGTCCATTAGAGTAAACGAGGGTTGAAAAAGGTTAACTTATTATCTTATTAGAATGACCGATTAGTGAACCCTCGTTCAACCGGGCACATTTCTTTTAACACATTTAAGATAGGTAAACGTGGCAATATTTCAAAAAATTCATGTGATACTGAATTTTATGTTCCTGATGGCTAGCCCGACAGATTTCATCGACCAGTTTTTTTTTTATATAATAAGATGTGTTCAACGAAGTACAACAGAATAAGTAAGTTTGTAAAGAGTTCCATTTGTTTCACTATAGTTTCTGAAAAAAAATAAAAAGAATAAAAAGAATATATGAATAGTGAAAAATAAAATAAAAGTACACTGAATATAAAAACTACAGCAGAGGCTAGGGCAATCTGAAAAATGAAAAGTGGAAGAGCTTGGTGTGAAAAACAACATTTATTCATAAACTTGGAAATGTTCATACATGTTATTATGTTTTTTCATTATTCCCATGCACAAAACTGTTTCAAAATGTTACACAAGATTAGCATTTTAATTGACCCAAACTTGAAATAAAGATGATTACTAAGATTGATTAACTGTCACTGATTGTAATATAACCTCTTGCAAAGTATGCACATCGTTAGGGTAGTATAACTAATTTTCCATCTCTCCAATATTGTTTTTATTTATTTTGCTTCATCAGTTTGAAAATGTGTTATTGTGTTTCTGTGTAAATGGAAGTATGTAATGGTTTAAAAGTACTACAATGTGAATTGTACTATTACTGATGTAGTTTGTGTATGTATAGCTTATGTATTAAATCGTGAATGTAAAGGTATGCTTTATAGTGATTGCTAAATCTACCATTAGATCCCTGCTGCTCTGCATTTACTTACACTGATTTCAATTTTGTTTTTATATATACATAAATAATGTACAACCACTTCATAATGAATTCAATAGAATACATACTAGTGTTCACCATTTTCAAGTAAATTTCAAGTTATATATTGTACGTATAAAGCTAGAAAGTAGGTTTATAAATAGAACACTTAAGTACTCTTTTTAGGTGACTAAAAATGTATAACTGTCTTGTGTGTGAGTCACTTTAGTCATTTTATTTTAAGATTGATTTCCCCTAGTTATTTTCGTTTTTGTTTATTGGTCGACTCAGTTCTGACTATTGTCTTTGTTATCAATTTTGAGTCCGAACTTTGTCCTTGTGTGTTGACGCTGGTAGTATTTTGTCCATGTGTTTTTTGTCCTTACACTTTGACGCTTTGGTGTATTTTGTCCTTGTGGGTTGATAATGTTGTATATTTTGCCCTTTTATTTTGACGCTGTGGTATATTTTGTCACTACGGAAAACGAGAAAAGACGAGAAAACATTTTGGAAAAAAAATAAGTCAACGTAAAATCCAATTTGAAATTGACGTAATGTGAAAGACATTTGATCTTTGGCTGTTCATATATAGAATTGTATGTATTTAAATATATCGGCAACAAGGAGTCTTGTCATATTTATTACTAGGCTCCCAAGTAACATCTAAACTTGATGAGTGTTCTAAATTCTCAAATTGTTTTAAGGGCTTTATTTACATTGACATTAGTATTTATGAACGTTTGTTATCAGATGACTTCATGTCCTGAAACACTTAAAGAGTTGACGCAAATGAAACCCTGGCACTTTTGGGAGGAAATGTGAATCATGAAGGAATGAGGAAGTTTACAAAGGTAATTAAATATCATAATACCGGGGTCACGGAGATGCAGGAAGTATAACTAAATGATGATTGCAAGGAGAGAGTTCAAAATCGACAATTTTGTATTTGTATTTGTCCAATCTACTGCTTTCTTACTGAATGTATAGCATGGGTTTGCATAGAAATGAATAAAATTCACATGTGATCATTTCGTATACCATAATTATACAGATTTTACTTTTTAGTTCTACTTTCCATAAATATAGAATCTAGCATTGATTAAATGTTTATGCTAACATATGCATTTCCTAATGTAGAGGGCTTTCATAGGCTTTACACTGCAACCCAGTTTTAAGAACTATACAGTGAAATGCACGAGGAAGAAGGTCTTTTTACAGAATCCTCTATAACAAATTGATTTTTCATCTTATTGATGAAACATTTTCATGAATTGGTAACTCTTTTGGCAATTCTAAAATGTTATTACATTTTAAGGAAGATAACTAAAAGGAAAGCACTATAAATAATAGTTTATAAGGTTTGAGATTATCACTATAAACTATAATGTATCGGGTTTGAGAGTATCGCTATCACAATCAAAATGTATTGAAGTCTGATACAGCTGTTCATCAATTTCTTTATATTTCTAACTTGCAATTGAATGTCGGGTGTTTTTCGGAATAATTATTAAATATAACAAGCCAAGTCAAGCCGGGACACTTTCGTTGACCAGTTAGCTTAGTCGGTTAGAGGGATAGTATTATAACAAGTCCAGGTATTCGAATACCGGTCAAGCCGCTCGGAATTTCACTACAGTATCAGACGACTCGTGTTTATACTATTTTGTTTGTTTCATCTTAATACATATACGTCCCTTAAGGTATGGATTTCTTTTCAGGAAATAATCTATCGAAGCTTTACTGATGTCGAAAAATTAGTTTTCCAATGCGTATGAACGTTTTTGGTAATGGTGATCATTTTACGTGTATCGCTTTATTTAAGATGACATATTTTCATAATTGAAGTATGCACCTGTTCATTCTTTGTTTTCCGTGTTTTAAGAGAGACAGATGTAGAGCGAGAGAGTGTTCCATTGTGTTTAAATGAATTAGGTATAGTTATATATACATCTGTACATGAGTTTATGGATGGTAAAACATTATTTGATGATAGAATAAAATATTAGAAAGTGCTTCATGTTTTAACTTTTTCTACTGCACACACTTGAAGACATATATTAATAAAACCAACAACTGCTAGTGCTATGTCCCAACAGCAAATTTCATACCAAATCTATGAACCCGCATAACTCGAATACTCGGATAACTCGAAGTTTTCCCACGACCCCGTCGACTTCGAGATAACGAGGTTCAACTGTATATATATCTACATAACTGTTAAACTTGGTTTAGCAGTACATGATTTTTACTTTCAAGTTTTAGAACTTTTTTGAAGAACAGGAAGACTGCAGGGTAGCCATTTCGGATTTTGACAGAGATAGCTACTACTGATCCTTCTCAAATTCAAAAGTAGGTTCCCAATTGCCTTTGAGTATGGATGCTTACTAAAAAAAAAAAAAAAAAAAAAAAAAAGAGGAGAGACGGGACTAAAGAATGTTTTTTTTCTATTTTAAATTTCAAGATCGTAAATATTTCTTTCTCCAGTTTGTATCTTAACGGTCTAGTCCGTTGTTATGGAGTTAACATTTCACAGACGTTTTCTCGCCGCGTATAGCTTGCCCTTAATATCGGGATATTTGTTTAACAGATGCGTTCTGTAAACGCTGTGGACTCCTACAACATTTCTACTGTATATAGGACTTCAGCTTTTATTTTATTACTTGTTAGATATTTTTCCGTTTATAGTTCCTTTGTCCGTGTCCCTTGATTTGTTTCATTTTGTTTAACGTCCCATTAACAGCTAAGGTCATTTAAGGACGTGCCTCCATGTGTGTAGTGCATGCGTGCTTGCGTGTGTGTAAAGAAGGCAGGGTATGTTGGTGTAGTTCCCGCCTTGTGATAATCACTGTAATCTGATTCCAACTTTATAGTGCTATCTCGCCTAAGTACCATGCCGAAGCCACCTAGCACAGCATTCCGCCCGGTCACATTATACCGACAACGGCTGAACCAGTTGTTACCATTACCCTAAATGCTGAACGTTAAGCAGGGAATAAGAACTACCATTTTTAAGGACTTTGGTATGTCCCGGCCTGGGAACATAACACATTGCCTACGCCACTTTGGCTGGACCAAACAATGCACTAGGAAATAAAAGGTAGATAGTAGAAGAAAGAAATATGGAGATGCCAAATATTGCAATAGGTGGCGCAGATTTTGTCGTGTTTGTGTCTCCCAAGAAGATGAAATTCAACCCCGAGAAATGCGTCGCCATACATATGACCAGGAAGAAGTAGCCATTAAAGAACCATTATTTACTCCATGGACATCAGCTGGAGGTTGTAAATGGCGCCGAATACCTAGGAGTAACACTAAACAGTGACTTTTCGTGAAGTGACCACGTTAACACTTGTGTTGCCAAAGCGTCGAGGTCAGTTGGTATCCTGCCACGGAATCTCCGCTCTTGCCCCGAACAAGTCAAGGCAGTTGGTATCCTGCCACGGAATGTCCGCTCTTGCCCCGAACAAGTCAAGGCAAGCTTGTACGACCGACCCTGGAATATGCGTCAACAGTATAGAACCCTCGTCAGAGGAACAACATTGATAGTCTTGAGGGAGTCCAGACACGCGCGGCGAGGTTCGTCAGCGGCGACTACAAACGAATGGATCATGGGAACATGCCCGCCATCCTACAGAAACTGGGCTGGGATACACTGGAGCAGAGGAGAGCGAGAGCGAAACTAGTCATGTTCCACAATGTCATCAACAAAAAGGTGGACGTGGACCTCGGACAACAACTAAGCCTACTGATCCAGAACAAGAGGTACCAGTACAAACTATAGGCAGATCCCAGCAACGCTCGATCTATACCATCGAGGTTTCCTACCAAGATCTATTACCTTATTGAATAGCCTACCTAACAACATTAAGGAGGTAGAGGAACTCCCAATCTTCAGGTCCCTTATTACCAACCTGGATCTGCGTGTGACAGACGTATACACACTTAAAACATGGTATGTATACCTAAGACATGGTATACACACTATAGACATTTTATACACACTTTAGACATGGTATGCACACTTTAGACATGATGTGTACACTTTAGTCATGGTATGTACACTTAAGACATGGTATACACACTATAGGAATGGTATACACACTTTAGACATTGTATGTACACTTTAGACATGGTATGTACACTATAGACATATGGTATATTCACTTTAGACATGGTAGGTACACTATAGACATGATATGTACACTTTAGACATGGTAGGTACACTTAAGACATGGTATGTACACTTAAGACATGCTATGTACACCTAAGACGTGGTATACACACTATAGGAATTGTATACACACTTTAGACATGGTATGTACACTTAAGACATGGTATGTACACTATAGACATGATATGTACACTTTAGACACGGTATGTACACTTAAGACATGGTATGTACACCTAAGACATTGTATGTACACCTAAGACGTGGTATACACGCTATACGAATTGTATACACACTTTAGACACTGTATGTACACTTTTGACATGGTATGTACACTATAGACATGGCATATTCACTTTAGACATGGTAGGTACACTAAAGACATGGTATGTACACTATAGACATGGTATATTCACTTTAGACATGGTAGGTACACTAAAGACATGATATGCACACTTTAGACATGGTATGTACACTTAAGACATGGTATGTACACCTAAGACATGGTATGTACACCTAAAACATGGTATGTACACCTGAGACATGGTATACACACTATAGGAATTGTATACACACTTTAGACAATGTATGTACACTTTAGACATGGTATGTACACTATAGACATGGTATATACACTTTAGACATGGTATGTACACTTTAGACATGGTATGTACACTTTAGAATGGTATGTACACTATAGACATGGTATGCACACCTAAGACATGGTATGTACACCTAAAACATGGTATACACACTATAGGAATTGTATACACACTTTAGACACTGTATGTACACTTTTGACATGGTATGTACACTATAGACATGGTATGTACACTATAGACATGATATGTACACTTTACACATGGTATGTACACCTAAGACATGGTATGTACACCTAAAACATGGTATGTACACCTAAGACATGGTATACACACTATAGGAATTGTATACACACTTTAGACATTGTATGTACACTTTAGACACGGTATGTACACTATAGACATGATATGTACACTTTAGACATGGTATATACACTTTAGACATGGTATGTACACTTTAGACATGGTATGTACACTATAGACATGGTAGGTACAGTATAGACATGGTATACACACTTTAGACATTGTATGTACACTTTAGACATGGTATGTACACTATAGACATGGTATGTACACTTTAGACATGGTATACACACTTTAGACATGATATGCACACTTTATACATGGTATGTTCACTTTATATATTGTGTGTACACTTAAGACATGGTATGTACACTATAGACATGGTATGTACACTTTAGACATGGTGTATTCACTTTAGACATGGTAGGTACACTATAGACATGATATGTACACTTTAGACATGGTATACACACTTTAGACATGATATGCACACTTTATACATGGTATGTTCACTTTATATATTGTGTGTACACTTAAGACATGGTATGTACACTATAGACATGGTATGTTCACTTTAGACATGGTATGTACACTTAAGACATGGTATGTACACTTCAGAAATGGTATGTACAATTTAGACATGGAGTGTATACTTTAGACATGGTATGTACGCTATAGACATGGTATACACACTTTAGACATGGTATGTACACTTTAGACATGGTAGGTACCCTATAGACATGGTATATTCACTTTAGACATGGTAGGTACACTATAGACATGATATGTACACTTTAGACATGGTATACACACTTTAGACATGATATGTACACGTAAGACATGGTATGTACACTTTAGACATGGTATGTACACTATAGACATGGTAGGTACACTATAGACATGGTAGGTACACTTTAGACATGGTATGTACACTTTCGACATGGTATGTATACTTTAGACATGGTATGTACACTTTAGACATGGTATGTACACTATAGACATGGTATCCACACTTTAGACATGGTATGTACACATTAGACATGGTAGGTACACTATAGACATGGTAGGTACACTATAGACATGGTATATTCACTTTAGACATGGTAGGTACACTATAGACATGGTAGGTACATTATAGACATGGTATACACACTTTAGACATTGTATACACACTTTAGACATTGGTATGAACATTTTACACATGGTATACACACTTGTGGTGCAGGAATTGCCTAACCTTCCATTAAGCTGGTTTCATTCCTGGTGTCTCTTCTGTTGTGATAGGTATTTTAGCTAGCTCGTTGATGCTATGGTTTACATGACTTTAATTTATTTATATCAACGTTTCATACTTTATTGATGATACAATAACCTCTATTTGGACACACAATCACGTGAAGAAATATGATTACTTTCATCCTGATACCAAGTTATTTATAAAGATGCTGAAAATTTTCATTTTGACTCACCCCATACTCTTGACATTTAATATCAGGAAAGTATATTGAGTGCGTTTACTCATATCCTTCACATATGTTATACACAAAGTTCCCTTTATGTCATCCCCAAATGAAAGCATCTAGGGACTGTCTATAGATTATTTCATTGAATTCTGTTTCTGTCTTGTACTGCTACCACAGGGAGTAGGGTCTACAGTATAAGTCTGTGGATAAGGAGATACATTTGTGTCTTTTAAGGAAGAAACTTGTTTTGTGTACTTAGTTATTCTGTCTGCACTGAGAAAGGATGGAGGCTGATGTAAATGTCTGCACAGAGAAGGATGGAGTCTGATGTAAATTTCAGCACGGAGAAGGATAGAGTCTGATAAAGATGTCTGCACGGAGAATAATGGAGTCTGATGAAGATGTCTGCACGGAGAAGGATAGAGTCTGATGTAAATTTCTGCACGGAGAAGAATGGAGTCTGATGAAGATGTCTGCACGGGTAATGATATAGTCTGATGAAGATGTCTGCACGGAGAAGGATAGAGTCTGATGAAGATGTCTGCACGGAGTATAATAGAGTCTGATGTAAATTTCTGCACAGAGAATAATTGAGTCTGATGAAGATGTCTACACGGGTAATGATATAGTCTGATGAAGATGTCTGCACGGGTAATGATATAGTCTGATGAAGATGTCTGCACGGAGAATAATGGAGTCTGATGAAGATGTCTGCACGGAGAAGAATGGAGTCTGATGAAGATGTCTACACGGAGAAGGATAGAGCCTGACGAAGATGTCGGCAAGGAGAAGAATGGAGTCTGATGAAGATGTCTGCACGGAGAAGGATACAGTGTCTGCACGGAGAAGGATAGAGTCTGATGAAGATGTCCGCACGGAGAAGAATGGAGTCTGATGAAGATGTCTACACGGAGAAGGATAGAGCCTGACGAAGATGTCGGCAAGGAGAAGAATGGAGTCTGATGAAGATGTCTGCACGGAGAAGGGTAGAGTCTGATGAAGATGTCGGCAAGGAGAAGAATGGAGTCTGATGAAGATGTCTGCACGGAGAAGAATGGAGTCTGATGAAGATGTCTGCACGGAGAAGGATAGAGTCTGATGAAGATGTCTGCACGGAGAAGGGTAGAGTCTGATGAAGATGTCGGCAAGGAGAAGAATGGAGTCTGATGAAGATGTCTGCACGGAGAAGAATGGAGTCTGATGAAGATGTCTGCACGGAGAAGGATAGAGTCTGATGAAGATGTCTACACGGAGAAGGGTAGAGTCTGATGAAGATGTTTGCACGGAGAAGGATAGAGTCTGATGAAGATGTCTGCACGGAGAAGGGTAGAGTCTGATGAAGATGTCAGCACTGAGAAGGATAGAGTCTGATATGCAGGTGTCTGCACGGAGAAAGATGGAGACTGATGAAGATGTATGCACCCTTGGAACATGTCATAACGAAATCGAAGGCACTGTTGGGGCCATCATATGTTGATCGATACAATAGACGTGTTTGATTCTTTGATGTTTAACAAAATAATCGCGCAGCATCGTTGCGGTATAATTGACTGTAATTTTAAGCGTGGGGTTCGTTGCTATAAAATCGTCAAAGTCTAGGTATCTGTAGCGATAGGTCAGTTTTTCTCACCTGAAACCAATCGAATAGCTCGCTATGACATGAGCGTAACCTCTGGAATTTTGAGCCTTGTAAGACCTCATATCGAGGTCAAGAAAAACGAACTAGTCCACCTCTAAAATGTGGGTTCCTTTTATCAGTATTTGATCTGTATAGTAAAATTCCTCGAAACTAAAAAAAAAATTAGAAAGTTTATGGATTTTGATCGAATCCTGTTAAAAAATATATATATGTGTCCAAATTATGGTAAACATTCGTATTAATTGTCATTGGGGTAGTTGTTTCCCGTTGTATTAACCCAACAGGTATACCGAACATACCGGGATGTGATTGGTTGACGTCATGTGACTGGAAAGTTATAATTAGTGCATGCGAAGTATATATACATATCATATGTGTTCTCATGCTGTTAACGTTTGAGACAGCATATCGATCGCGAGTGTCGTGTGTGTTTGGTGTTTGTGCTGACTATGTGTGGTATAAATGGGATATGTGTTTCTTGTAAACAGGTAAGATTTTTATAAATAATGTGACGTGTATATATATATATAATATAAAAAATATTTTAATTTATATATGTGGTTTCCCTGCTTCGTAGTTACAGTATTCTATAAGGGTCAGTGGGATCTTGGAAATCAATATTTTATCAGACTTGTATAGTCTACTGACTCGCAAACAAACATTGTATGTTGTTGTTTTCTCTCTCCAGTTTTCATGTTTAGGGCATGAATGAACATATGATCTTGTGTGTTACAATGTGCCACTGATTAATTGATAGGTTTTACGTCCGCTTCACTACCGAGAAGTTGGGTTATCCAGCAGACGATACGTACACAATCACACAGAAACATCTTTATTTAGTTTTAGATTCTAATCCAGTGAAATTGACCTGTATGGTGTGGGACACCAGATTATTTTCTTTGAAATCTTGCCCTTTTGTCAATCTTCGACGTAAATGACAACAATGTGCCACAATCAAGATGCCCTAATAAAATATAAGGACCCGGATGTTTTTATTGTTAGTGATTTATTACTGGTCGTGGTTAATAAACTTTAAAAAACGACCAGTTTAAAAAAATACACGGAAAGTTTACGTGGTTTTAGTTGTATATATACATGCATACAGTAATATATACGAATAATAACAAAATCAATGAATTAATTGTTATATTTACGAATAGTTTGGTTAATTATACCACGGACTTAAATTCCGTGATTATACTATTTGACAATATTTGGGAGTGATAGCATAAACGATATTTTGTTTGGTAACCAACCAGATATTGAAAGATATTGCCTCTGATCATTGTGTCAGATACATTTATCAGCTTATCAAGTATTAAATCGATATATACTTGTATGACAAAATCGTCACGTATCAAATCAATCCGGTTATCATATTTACATGAAGTAATGTCAAGTGCACCGCGCCTATGCATGTTGAGTCACAGCTTGTCCACTCCTTTTAATTACATACAACAAGTGTACACATAATGTATTACTACAAACAAAGTTAGTAACCTGGCCCTCAGACTTTCAACATCTATTGAAATCAAGTCATGCAGAGGATTTTGATACATAGATTGCCAAAGGCGGGTGGTAGGCAAATCTTGTACCCCGTTCCCGGACCCGGACTGAAACCCCGTACCGGGAATATAAAGATATTTTAATATCTCATTAACGCGATGGTTTATAATTTTTATAAAAATATAGAATAATTTCAAACATTATTTTCTAAATGTGACAATTACAAAAATGTTTATTTATTATCTAATAATTTAGAAATCGACGATAATGTGTTTTTCAAGGGGGTAAAACTTGTACGCCGCAG